TACAAGAAGCATGGAAGCTTAAGTGTGCTTGGGATGAAACCCTACCTGAGGAATTTGTTGAAAGATGGTAAGAACTAATGGGTGAATATGCAAAATTACCAATGTTGGAGTTCCCACGTAATGTGGCCAGTCAAGATGGAGAAAATGTACTCCACATTTTTTGCAATGCTTCGAAATTAGCATATGGAGCAGTCGCTTACCTTCAATGTAATAATGCCATTTCTCTTGTTATGTCTAAGGCTAGGGTGGCTCCAATCAAATCACGTACCTTACCTCAGTTGGAATTAACGGCCATTTATGTAGGTGTCAAATTAGCCAATTATATAAGAAATAAATTGCGAGAGATAAATATCAGCTACACCATAATTTGGTCTGATAACGAGGTATCCTTACCATGGATTCGTAATGGTAACAGTAAGATTGTGTATGTACAAAACAGAATCACTGAAATCAATCAAATGCAGGAGAAATATAACAGTTTGGGTCAGCATATGTTAACCTTTAATCACATTCCTGGTGACGAGAATCCGGCTGACTTCTTGTCTCGAGGCTTGAGTTATGAAAAATTTGTGAGTGCTTTATCGTGGTTTAAAGGGCCAAGTTGGCTGGTGGACAAAATTAACTGGCCGGTGCAAAAGGCACATATTGCTCCTGTCGAAATTACGGTGAGCACCGCTCCAGTCAGTAGTCCCTCCTTAGCCATTGACATTAATAGGTATTCTTCCTTACCCAAGCTGATTAGCGTAACAAGGTTAGTGTTTAAATTTATAAGTAAGATGAATATCTCATATAATTTTCCCCATCCCCTGAAATACTGGCTACAGAGGGTACAAGAAGAAACCTACAGGATGAGATTAAATTAATGATGGACGGAAAAATTGTGAAAGCTCAATAATAGAAAAGCTGGGGCTGTATTTAGAGGATGATGTAATTAGGTGCAGAGGCAGGTTACAAAATGCTGAATTGGGGGAATATGCTAAGCACCCTATCTTGCTGCCCAAAACTCATCACCTGACAACCTTGATTGTCTTTAATGCCCATAATAACGTGATGCACGGTGGGGTACAGGATACCTTAAACTGTATTCGGGAAACCTTCTGGATTCCACAAGGACGGCAAAGTGTAAAAAGGGTTATCAAGTCGTGTGCAATATGTCACCGGGTGGATGCCAGAACCTACATGTACCCAGGTCCTCCACCATTGCCCAAGGAACGCGTGCAGTTGGTAAAACCATTTGATGTGACCGGAGTGGACTATATTGGGCCAATCATTTTAGCAGGTACTTCAGATGGTGTTCCCTTGAAGGTGTATGTATGTCTATTTACTTGTACAGCTACTAGGGCTGTTCATCTAGAAGTGGCTCAGGACTTGTCTGCAGAACAGTTCATGCAGCTGTTTCGGAAATTTGCAGCTAGGAGATCCTGTCCAAGACTGATGATCTCAGATAATGCCACCAATTTTGTAGCGGGTGCTCAACACTTGATGGAATTAAATAAGAGTGATGATGTACAGTCTTTGTTGACCCAGCGAGGGTGTGTCTGGAAATTTATTACTCCCAGAGCCCCTTGGCAGGGAGGACTGCACGAAAGAATGATAGGTACAGTGAAAAGATGTCTTCGTAAGGTGCTGCACAGGAAGAGAATTAATTTGGAGGAAATCCGTGCAGTGTTGGTGGAGGAAGAGAATCGGGTAAACAATCGCCCTCTGTCATACATGAGCGACACTCCTGACACGGAGATCCTGACTCCCTCTCACCTAATATGCGGACAAAGGTTAGAAGCTGCACCTATCTATAGAGATAATCCCGAGTGAAGTGATGAGGATTACAATAACGTGACCATGTTGAGTGATAAGTTCAAGATGTTAAATAAGGTAATTACTCATTGGTCCGATGTGTGGCGTAAAGAATATCTTCTTACACTACATAAACCGACAGAACATTCAACCAGGTGACATTGTGTTAATTGATACTGAACAACATCGAATATTGTGGCCTCTGGGCAAGGTAGTTACATTATACCTAGATGCACAAGGTGTTGTCAGAAACGTCAAAGTGTTGTGTAGTGGTCAGGAAAGTTTGCGTACCATTAATAAATTAATTCCCTTAGATTTAAATGGTGTTCAATCCAGTGCAGATGGAAATCTAAGGGAAAGTGACACAAGTGATATTGAAGACACTGACCGAGTAATGCAAGAAGAAATTGTAGTAAGACCCACTAGGAAAACAGCAGCGCAATCTAGAGAGGACTGGAATCGTCTCCTGGAGGAAGACGCAATTTAAGTCGTCTAACAACGACTTCCGCCCGGCCGCAGTGTGGAAATTATTTAATTTCCGAACCTATAGTGCCTAATAAGTGTTTAATGTGTTGATTTGGGTCAAAATGTATTTGTATTTTGAATGGAACCAACTGGGTTCCCGCTGCGCATGAGCAGACGTGCGGGGGTATAGGTCGGACTGGGGCACGAGGAGCGGGAGTGTTTTGAATGTAGTGAGGAGGCTGGGAAAGCATGGAACCAGGAAACTGGCGTTCATGGTGGCCTAAGGATTAATATAGGCCTCATTTCATAATAGGAAGTGTCGTAACTGTTCCTGGTGGAGAGTGAGGGAACGTGATTTACGGGACCACCGTAATAAAGTGGTAAAATGAGTGAATAAGGGTAGGACCGGGTGACTGGCGCGTCACCATGGACTGTGTCCCGGGGAAAATTACCCTTGGTTTAATCATCACTCATCGGTCTCAGATCTTAATGGAGTGATCTCTAATGTGTATAATAATTATGAGACATTAAATCGTCTTGTGAATTGTAATGTAATTAATGATGATAACGCTAAGTTAAGAGAATGCGTGAAGTGAAATAAGTCGCCTTGCTCCGAGTGAACACGTTAGACCTCGTTGTTCCCGTGACGAGGAAAGTGAAGTTCATTGAGTCACGACTTCTAAACCGGGACAAACCAATGGATACCTCGTCCTGCTGGAATGAGAACCGTGTCGGTGTAGCAGGACATCGAAATGAGATGGTGAATGGAGGAAATAAGGAGTATCAATCACCCACAGTTAAGTAACCCTTCTAGTTATAGCAGATTGATACTGGCCAGTTAGGTATGTTGTAATTGGATAGGTTATGGGTGATCCAGCTACATCAAGTGACTAAATAACAGTGTGACTTTGTCAATGGTCCAAGTCGGACCGAAACGTCGTTGTAAGCTTCTCTCTTTTATGTGCGGGTTATTTGTGTAACATCAAGTGACCCCCAGAGAATATCTGGTAAGTGGTGGGATTATGTACAAGTGTTTTTTCCTTGATGGGTATATCCATGTGTAACCTACCCCCCCCCTTCATTCAGTTAAACTAATATAATCTATACAGTCCACAATTAATTAGTAGCACCGTACTTGAGGGTGCTACCCAATTTATACTGGTCTCGGATAGATATGGATAAGATTGTGAGGGTCGAGGGGGCCACCTGCAGTGACCAGAGGTGGTTAAGTTTTCTCACATGTCTACATGGGTGACTATGGTAAACAATATCGTTGTTGTCTCCCAAGGAGATTACTCGTATGCATGTAATGTTGAGGTATGTACAAGTAATCACTCCTATAAAATTTTCCACATCTGCCATTTCAAATTATAACCAAAACTCTCTATACAGCTCCTCCCACCTGACTTTCTGTTACGGTCACTGCACCCCACCCTGTTTGTTTACATTCTCCCTGAGATCCGTAAGCACTAAGTCTCTCCATTATGTCCGGAAACTCCAAAATTTCAAGTGTTTTTAAAAGTTATTTCATGTTTTGTATATACTCTGATAATTATACTTATGTATACATGTACCTAAATAAACTTACTCACTGTGCTGGCATGCAGGTACACATTAAAATCAGTAAGAGTGTCTTTTGTCTCGAGACGTCATATTAGTAATGATAATAATAATCACCGAGATTCATTAAATGTCGTATATTACATTAATATACATATTTTCATTAATCCATCTATGATATTTTTTTCAAAATTATATAATAAACACGATATATAACATATGAAGATGATAAATACACCCCACAGTAGAATAAATAAACTTGTACCAGTGATGGCAAGAATAACATTTTCTCTAGTCCAGCATAAGAGAAAATGTGTTACTGTGGGTAACTGTAGAAAATTATTCCTTTTGTATGTAAGTAAGTTTATTCAGGTATACACAAATACAGTTACATAGATTATCACGCAAAGCAGCATATGTGTAAAGTACCTAGGATAACCCCAAAAAGTCGGAGTGACTTATTTCCATTGCCTTCACTCAAAGCATCATTTCTTCTAAAAATGGTGTTACATGAGAATGGGAGTGTTCCTCTTTATTTATTCTACCATATCAATGTAGGACAACTTGTATACAATGTAATTTGTACACAAACCAGACGTGTATGCCTGCCTTGTTTACAAAACTTGCGTTCGCCTGGTTTGTTTACATAACTCTGCGCCTGTCCTCCCTCATGTACTCATTCTCTCTCTCTCTCTCTCTCTCTCTCTCTCTCTCTCTCTCTCTTTCTCTTTTTCTCTCTTTTTCTCTCTTTTTCTCTTTTTCTTTCTTTCCCCTTTCTCTCTCTCTCTCCTCTCTCTCTCCTCTCTCTCTCTTCTCTCTCTCTCTCCCCTCTCATTTGTTTTATCTTGTTTACTCACCTCTGACCCTACATTAAGACTACAAATATTTTAAGGTAAGTAATGAGTGAACTGTATATGTATTTTATCACTCTGGGATGCTTAAATATCATAGAATATTATGTGTGGGTGGGGTGGCCTGGCTGGCTACCATACATACCGCACTTGATTTCTTACAATAAATACTACTCATCTCACCCTAGATTAAGACTACAAATATTTTAAGGTAAGTAATGAGTGCACTATAGTATGTGTATTTTACTTTTTTATTGTTTTTTAATGCCTAGTTCTATTGCTAACTTAATATATGTTAGTGTAAACTTATCTAGCACAGTGGACCCCCGGTTTACGATTTTATTTCATTCCAGAAGTATGTTCAGGTGCCAGTACTGACCGAATTTGTTCCCATAAGGAATATTGTGAATTAGATTAGTCCATTTCAGACCCCCAAACATACACATACAAATGCACGTACATAAATACACTTACATAATTGGTTGCATTGGGGGCTGATCGTAAACCGGGGGTCCACTGTATTTGTATGCATTTTTAAGTGGAAAAAAGGGGTGTTCCACTTTATGACAATTTCCGCTTTACGGCGGTAGCCTGGTACCTAACCTGCCATATAAGTAAGGCCCTACTGTATATCTTTGTGTATGTGCTTCTAAACTGTTGTATCTGGGTGCCTCTGCAAAAACTGGTTATGTGTGAGTGGGAGACATACAATAAGCACAAGCTTTTACTGAGGCAGAATGTTACACAGAGCTAAAGTCCGTCCCAATGAAGTGTGTTCAGTACCTTGTCTATGTCTTCATATGTGTCATGTGTGTCTAAACTTGCACAGGTGTGAGTGTCCATCGGGATACATGGGTCCCACCTGTGTCCAGCCGTGTCCAGCAGGTCGCTATGGCCATGGCTGCCTCGAGGACTGCCGGTGCAACAATAGTGGTTGTGACCGTGTTACTGGAGAGTGTGCGTGTGCGCCCGGCTGGCGAGGACCTCAGTGTCAGCAACGTAAGTTGATGTTGTGTAAGGTCCTGTTGTGTATGGTCATGTTGTAAGGTGTGTGAGGTTGTGTGGTTTGTGATGTCATATTGTGAGGTGCTGTGTGATGTCGTATTGTGAGGTGTTGTCAGGTCGGGTTGTGCTAAGTCCTGTTGTGTGAGGTTGTGTTGTGCAAGGTTGCATTTTGTGAGTTTTTTTTTTGAGGTTGTGTTATGAGGTTATGTGAGGTATGCCATATGAGGTGATCAGTTTTATTCATAAAAGCCTTACGCCTACTCTGAGACACTGTATTGTACACGTGCCTATAAAGAAAGGAATGATGCGTATAGGGTGATGGATAACTTTATTGTTCCAATAATAACATAACTACAGAGTTTGTGATGTAACATCCCCTTTCCCCAGCATGCCAAGAAGGCAGCTATGGGGCTGGCTGTGCTATGAGCTGCAGCTGTGCCAATGGTGCCAAATGTGACCACATCTCAGGTGCCTGTGTGTGCCCACCAGGTAAGCACTAAAATTTTCAAATTTGCACTGATTCTGCATGTTTTTCAAATACAGTAGAACCTCTACTTGCGAGCACATCCACATGCGAGTTTTTCCAAATATAAGCAGTTGATGGGTCATTTTTTTGCTTCCTTATGCGAGCAAAATTTCCACAAGCGAGCAGACCTCAAGGCAGGTGCCTCGACGCTGCTGAGGGGCTCTTGCTCTTGATCTAAGGAATTGTATCTCATTTGTTTGTTGGACTATCTTATTGAAACTTGGGCAATGTATGATGGAAAGATGCTTCTTAACGTAATAATAATACTAATAATAATATAATAATATGTATAATAATAGTATAATATAATACATATAATAATAGTATAATATAATACAAAAATAATAGTGCATATAATAATAATACATATATAATAATGATGTACTACATAATAATAATTATAATAATAGACAACTTCAAAAGGCCGTCACTGGATGGCAGTTGACATATTTTATGCATTCTGGAGTATGTATCAGGTTTTTATGTTATTTATATTGTTTATTATTTCATATTAGATGAACTGTGATCGATAAATAAGCCGTAGAGTTGATGATAGCAAAATATTCAAGGAGTAATTTGTCCTGTCTCCAGACAAACTCTCGTCGGCTGCCGCCGCTGCCACATATATAATGACATATTTTATTCATTAGAGAGTATATATCAGGTTTCTATGTTATTTATGTTGTTTGTTATGTCATATTAGATGAACTGTGATAGATGAATAAGTCGTAGAGTTGATATTAGCGAAATTATTGAAGTACAGAATTCCACTGGAACGGATTAATTGCATTTCAGTGAATTTAAATGAGGAAAATTGACTCTGCAAACGAGCAAATCCAGTTGCAAGCAAGGTCATGGAACAGATTAAACTCCCAAGTAGAGGTTCCCCTGTACTATGTTTATAAAGAAACGATCTGTATGGGTCATATGTTAAGTAATACTTGTGTATGAATAACTGAAGTGTAATGAACACTTGTCAGTGCTCAGTAATAACCCACAAGGAGACAGAAACTTGGGAGATTAATTGATCTGTAAATTTCGATCCCCTTCTGGTATCCTCTTCAGCTAAAAAGGATGCCAGAAAAGGGTCGAAATAATCAGATCAATCACTCTCCTGTGTTTGTCTCCCTGTGGGTTATTATTGAGCAACTTTTAAATTTTTGTTT